CTTCATACAACTATTTCGGTACTAATGTTGTTGGTCACTAGTTCAATCGATAGAATTTTAATATCATCAACGAGTAGCGCTATGAAGATGATATAAATATTCTTTCTTCATTGATCTTATCTTCACATTTCCAAACAGAAAACATGATTCGGACCTCCGATCTCGTCATTGAGCGGACCCCGCCATTACCACAAACGAACGACAATGAGAAGGTGAAAGATGGGAAAGAGATGGATTATTCTCAAGACTCCACTTCAATCAATTACACGATTGAAGAAGAAAAGAAACAGAGATTTTCTATGCTCAAGGAAAATAAGATTGTAAAGTTTTGTTGGAGTGTGGTTACTTATACGCCGAAGAGATGTCGATATGATGTGGAAAACCCGCCAAAATTCAGTTTGTGGACGAATTTACTTTTTGCTTTTGTGAGTTCTACTTCTTGACTCCTCAATGGGAGTTCATGGTCTTGTAATCTTGCTAACACATATTTCGTAGGCTTGTACTTTCACGGTGGCAAATCTTTATTACAGTCACCCTATTCTTAATATCCTAGCGGCAGAATTCAATGTCACCAATGAACGTGCATCAATTATTCCTACGGTAATGCAAGCAGGGTATGCGTCTGGACTGTTGCTTCTATGTCCTCTGGGAGATATCTTCAGGAGACGTGCATTTGTATTGTTATTGGTATTTTTTACTGCGACTATGGTACGTTTACTTGAAAGACTTTTATGAATAATCTTTATGATGAAATATTCACAATGTCCTCTTAAACTGACCGAGATTCATCATTGTAGTGGCTTGGTTTATGCCTCACAAACTCGTTCTCTGTGTTTGTTGGAATATCTTTCATCACAGCACTTACTACCGTCACTCCACAACTTATGCTTCCTTTGGTAGGGGATTTAGCACCGCCAAATCGTAGAGCAACTTGCTTGGCTATTGTTTCTTCGGGTCTACTACTTGGTTTGCTGATTGCTCGTCTACTTTCGGGTATTTTGACACAGTATACTACTTGGCGAACAATATACGTAGGATAATTTCCCTCCCGCCCCCACGCCCCTCACCCCACATCGCTTATCGTATTCACTAACAACTTCTCAGTGGTTTTCCTTCGGTGTCCAATATCTCATCTTCATCCTTCTCTACCTTTTCATGCCGGACTATCCAAGCACCAACCCTGGATCTTTCAACTATTTCTCCCATCTACTCAGTATCCTCCGGCTACTCTTCAAACACCCCCTCCTAGTCCAAGCATCTCTCATCGGCTTCTGCACCTCCACAATCTTCACCTCCTACTGGACAACCCTCACATTTCTCCTCTCTTCCCCTCCCTACTCCTTCTCCCCCATCCCCATCGGTCTCTTCGCCCTCATCGGCATCGCTACCTTCATCCTCGGCCCCATCTACTCCCGTCTCATCATCGATAAATTCATCCCTCTCTTCAGCGTCATCCTCGGTCTCCTCTATTGTCTCATCGGCGTCATCCTCGGCACCTATCTTGGAGAATTCACCCTCGCGGGCCCAATTCTCCAAGCGATCTTTATGGATCTGGGGATCCAAACTGCGCAGATTGCGAATAGAACGGCGATTTATGGGATTGATACAAAGGCGAGGAATAGAGTTAATACAGCGTATATGCTGATGGTCTTTTTGGGACAGTTGACCGGGACCGCAGTTGGGAATAGATTGTTTGCGAGGGGGGGGATGGGTGTTGAGTGGGAGTGGGATTGGGGGTTTGTTTTTTGAGGGGGCCGTGGGAAAAAGGATGGGTCGGGTGGGGTGGGGGTTGGGGGGTTAGGAGGAGGGATTTGGGGAGGGAGGTTGGGGGGTAGAAGAGAGGGGGTGGTGAGGGGGGAGGAGGGGATGGGGGGGTTTTGGAGATGGAGATGGGGAATGGCGAAATGAATGGAGAAGTTGAAGTTATATCTTCTCGTGTGGGTTCTGTACGGGAATCGAAGGTTGAGGGTTTGAGAGCTGAGGGGGAGGAAGGGAAATTGGGAAACTCGGATAAGAACCCGGTGTGGTCATCGCGAATATCTTGAATATCACGTCACTCGGGGTCTTGAGATTGGATGAGATGTATTTTTCAATTCGATACGATATGAGATGATACTGATGGACGAAGCGAAATGAGGGGAGCAAAGTGGAATCATGAAAGATCTCAGATTCGAGAAGAAACGAAAAGCATATATAGCCGCGATATTGATATAGAGGAGATTATGTACAAATACAGACCTTCCTACCTATTGAGTAAGAGTAAGATTAAGATTAAGAACAAGATTAATGGAACTAGTCGGCCGCTTACAAGAACCAACTATTAGGAATTTATCAAATTTATTCTTTGGCTTTTTGAAAGAGGCCTGTCATTACTATGTATGAGTATAATAAATACATCTGTCAATATGTTCGAGGCACTCGGTTTGCGCACAGACCTCATACTATCAGTTTTTTAAGAATGTTAAACTTCCTTCATCCCATCTTCATCTATCTTCCACTAACGATCAGTTTTGATAAATGGGTTAGTTATTGTTGGTCAAGAAATGAGTCGATGTAAATCGATACTTGTCGTACGTATAATGTGTCCACTCTTGAAGATTGGTTGCTATAGAAAGCTTACATACACCCTATAAGTTAAGCTGTGGGTTCTGATATAATACCTGGTTATCTAGCTCGATTCGATATAATTCAATGAAGAATGGAGATTTATTGTTCTACCGGTTTATCAAGCCTGTTTGTTTGAAGCAATTCCAGTGGTTGATGTTGAATTTCGTTGGTTCAAATGTTGTTAGTATGAATGGAATTTGTGCCTTGTTCTTCTTGTTAGCCTTGAGGTTATAAGCTAGTGAATGTGCTTGAATTGAGTAAAACCCGTGGACGTCCACAAATGTGAGAGGTTCCAATAAGTGGTAGTTATGTTCTTACATATATTGGAGATGCACGTTTGAGGCTGAGTTAAATGTGAGCGGGTTTCCCCGCTCTGGAATTGGTGAGATTCTTTGGTTGAGATTTTTGTTTCGTCGTCTTGTCTTCTAAGTCAACTACCCCACTTTCCGACCACCCCCTGTTTCCGACCACCTAAAAAATTCATATTATCTACACTTAAAACTTTAATAACTCAATAACTATTGAACTTCAATGAAATCGCCTGTAGAATCACTTTCTATAGCACTAGAGCTATCATCTACCTCATCTTCACGATCTCCAGCTTCAATTTGTGTACGCCTTATAGCTCTAATCCCTGCGAACTTCGAATTTGGAGATACCACAACCTTTCGCCTTTTTCTAGGTAATGCTTCATCTAATTGATATTCTAGCTTTCTAATCTTATTCTCTGCCTCTAAGAGTTCATAATCCTTAGCATCGAATCCTTTTATAATCTTGCGAAATAGTAATCTTCGTGTTGGCAAATCGATCTCCTTCTCTTGAATCATTATATCTCTATATTTTCTGATATCGGCTCCTTTTTGAGGGGTTTTCCATTGAATAAACGATGAATATATATTCCATTGAAGAATAGGATCATCATCAGATTCAGGATTAAGTGATAAAACCTCTCTATTGCTATTTTCAAGCAAAAGTCGACTCATAAGAGGTTTAGCCATATTTTTGGGCCAAAGACCACTAGCTTGCCACCCAGACTTGATATTTTGAATAGTTAAACCTTCTATTCTAGCCTTCTGATAGCAAGAAAGGAAATTGCGCTTTCCAATTGGTGAGGAATCGGATAATAGACTTAATTTATTAAGTTCGATTCGATATGCACTTTTTAGGGGTGAGAACACAGATAAATCGAGTGGTTGTAGTACGTGTGACGTATGTGGTGGGAGAAGTAAGAGATATACGTTGTTATTAAAGCATTCTAACATAAATGCTGTAGTTTCATGGCTTCCGTGTCCGTCCAAAATGAGGAGTCTTGAATTTTCCGGCTGAATAGGGGTAGTTTGAGGGATATAGATCTTTTTCAGCCATTCTAAAGCTGTAGCATCTGTAGTCCATCCATTTTCTGTAGCGGTAAAGTTCCAACCCTTGAATAGAGTCAAATCTGTTGGAAACCATTGTTGTTGAACTGATTTTCCCTTATATATTACAAGGGGAGTAATGCTTTTTCCATTGGCTGAAATGCATTCTATAAAAGAGGTCCAAATTCGAGATCCAGGTTGCTTTTTTTGAATAAATCTTCGATCAGTGCTTCCTACTACTAGTCCATTAAGACCCTGACCCTCCATTATACCTGCTTCATCCATATTCCATCTGTTGGCCGGCTTAATAGCCTTGATTTCAGGGATTGCGAGGTTCCGGAACCACTTCTTAATAATATCAGATGTAGCACCTGAAACTCGTGCAGAATCGATTTGATGTTGCTTCTTAGTTCCAATATTAGGATGCCTTCGAAAAAAGCTATGTATCCATTTCTTTCCAAGTGAGGGATCCTCCCCTCGTACAATAAGGAGGTGCTCTGCCATCTCTCTGATTTGACGATGTGTAGGGCTAGTACCAAGAGCTTCCTGTACTAATATCCATTCTGCTAGTCGATTCTCCTGAATTGGAGATAACTTTTGAAGTATTTGGGCGCCGTTTTGATGCGAAACTCCACCATATATTCGATCGTGAAGTGTGGTACGTGGAACACCATAATCCAAGCTAGCTCTTCGTATGCTTGCTCCATTTGTAATCGCTCTAAGAGCCTCTGCGATATCTTCTTCGGTATATCTATTCTTCATATCACAATTATAATAATATCAAAATTTCAAATCAATTGATTAAAGCATTGTTGAGTTATTCAAAGTATAAATTTTATAATTACTCAAAGCGGTGTGGTTTTTGAGGTGGTCGAAAAGAGGGGGTGGTCGGAAAGTGGGGTAGTTGACTTAGTTCTTATTTAATGTGTCCTCGAACCCATAGGTAAATTGTATTTTGTTTACCCACAACTATCTACTGTGTCTTCTTCTTTATTTTCAACCCTGTCCATAGCTTAATCTTAACTTGGACCAACCATCATGGCAAAATCTTTCGAAGGAGCAGAACTTGCTACCTTCAATACGAAAGAACTTACACCCAATCTCGTCGATGCAATTTCTGCAACAGAACCTGAAGCCATCTTCGCTGAATACCCTGTGAACCCCGTCAATTAAGAATCTGGCTATCAAAAGTTCACGTACAGATCTCTAGCAATACCGCTAATGGTATAGCAAGGTAGCTTCAAGAAAAACTGGACCGGGGGAAGACTTTCCTGCCTTGGCTTACATTGGTCCTAATGATATTGTCGCCATTGCTTTCTTATTGGGAGCTGTCAAGCCTGGATGCAAGGTGTGTAATCTGATTACTTCAAGACCATGATTTGAATAAGCAATTGACATCTGCTACTTATCTAGGCCCTTCTTATATCGCCCAGAAACAGTATTCGTGCGCCAGAAAATCTACCTACTTTTACTAAATGTAAAACTCTGGTCACAACAAGCCCCCGATCAACTCAACTACAACCCATGATAGCTGCCCTTTCTTCAATGGCTCTTTAAATACTCGAACTACCTAATATCTGAGACTTAACCGAAAACCCTCACGAACATTCTCCATTCAAGAAATCTCTTGAAGCGGCTCAAGATGAGCCCTTCGTGGTTTGACATACTTCTGGAACCACAGAACTACCAAAGCCCATCGTGTAGACTCATGATTGTATTGCTACGGCCACACAACGGATTGAAGCTCCGCAGGCTATGTTAATCAAATGGACTTTTATGCTGGGTAAGAAAGAGATGACTTTTGATTGTAGATTCAGAGTCCGTATCTTTAATACATTTCCAAATTTCCATGTAAGTTATGCTGGAACTCTGTAGCCATGAATTGATACTAATTAAGATAGGCCGCCGGTGTTTTCTTCGGTTGGATCAACGGTTTCCGTGGTCGGAGTGTTTCCATATATCCAATAGCTGGTCTCCCTTCAGCTAGTCTTTTGATTGACGGTCTCAAGCATAACAATGCTGATATCGCGGTTCTCGTCCCACCCTACGTTGTTGATCTTGCTAAAATACGGAGGGTCTAGATTTCGTTGCAGAAAATCTAAAACGTATCATTTATCTTGCAGGTGCCATTCCGCCAGCCGCTGGAGACGTTATCTCTTCCAAAATTGAACTCCTCGGCCACGTGGGAGCCACAGAGACGGCATTGTATCCTTCCTTGAAGCCAGTCAATACACGATGAAACTTTTAGGGTCACCATCAATTTGATCCCTGCGCAAATATATCCTTCGAGCATCAGGCTGATGATCTTTATGAAGCTGTCTGGAATAGAAACCGTGAACCAGAAAAATTACAACGTATCTTCAAAACCTTCCTAAAACTTCAGCAGTGGAGATCAACAGATCTCTACTCGCTACATCCTACGCAACCAGATCTTTGGCTTTACCGTGGTCGAGGAGATGACATTATAGTCTTCCTTACTGGAGAAAAAACAAATCCTATTCCCATGGAACATCGACTCAATTGACACCCAGAGATTCGTCAAGCAATGGTTATTGGCGCATTGAGATTTCAAGCCGCTCTCTTGATTGAACTTGTCGATCAAAAGTCAATGACAGCGATAGAAAGGGCAGAAGTTATTGAAAGCATTTGGCCTGCTATAGAAAATGCTAATTTGACATGTCCAGCACACGCCAGAATTGCAAAATCTCATGTTCTTTTCACGGAACCAGGGCGTCCTATTCTTATGTCGGCGAGAGGAACTATACAACGAAGTCCCACATCACGAGAATATGCTTCTGAGATAGAGAAGTTATATGGCGATGCTGATAAGATGTCTGCATACAGTGCAGGTGAGAATGATTAAAACGAGGAACACGTCGATATTCAAGATGTTGAGGCAGTGTATAAACTCTTACATCTAGCTGTTCTTAAGGTCACCAAATGGGATGAGGTCAAAATACAAGATGAAGATGATTCGTTCGTTCAAGGAGTGGATTTTCTGCAGGCGTTGCAACTCATTCGACATCTAAAAAAGGCTCTAAACAAGCCCGATCTCGCAATCTCTATCTTGTACGCCAATCCTTCTATTGCTCAGTTACTATATTCGATTGTTACTACGTCTAAGGATGAGCCGAACATAAATATATTGAATGCGTCGAATCGCCATCGTGAGATTGAGGAAACTCTCCAACGATACATTCAACTTGTTGACAGAATCTCTAGTAAGCATGAGTTTGGGAAAAAGTTATCCACAGTCAATGAACACGTAGTCATTTTGACGGGCTCAACTGGTTCTCTTGGATCATACATCCTAAGGACATTGATGCAAGATAAATCCGTATCACATATTTATTGTTCAGATCGAACGTCCTCTGCCCGTTCCCGCCGTCAAGAAAAGTATAAGAACAACAACGAATCCACAGATTTCTCAACCTCTAAAGTTACGTACCTCAAGATAGATCTCTCTAAATCCGGTTTGGAAGTCGATAACGAAACATGCAAACGAATTCAAAGTTCTGCAGCAGATATCATCCACAGTGCTTGGCCAGTAAACTTCAACCTCTCTCTTGAAACACATAAGCCACAACTTGACGGGATTATCAATCTTCTATCTTTCGTCTCCACAATTCCACATCATGTCTCTCTTCTGTTCTTATCATCCATCAGTTCTATATTAGGTCTCGAATCAACATCCATACCCGAGATGATTATCGACGATACATCGGCACCCCTCCCAATGGGCTACGCAAAGAGTAAATTCATCTCCGAATGTATTCTCGACCACGCTGCTAGGGGAATTATCTATCGACATCAAGGTTGCTCGTGTAGGTCAAATTTGCAGGTCCTGCTTACACATCTGGTGTGTGGAATAGATCTGAGTGGATGCCGAGTCTAGTGATTACTTCTTACAATACAGGATTTTTACCAGAGAACCTTGGTAGTGATGAGATGAAATTAGATTGGATACCGGTTGATCTCCTTTCATCTTAACTAGTTGATCTCTTACTCAACACAGATCTCAAAGCTTCCGAATTGGGTGCTAGTATATTCCATCCGCTGAATCAAACTCCTACGACGTGGAATACTATACTCCACGTCATTTTGAATACCTTGAATTCTTTGAATCCCAAAGTCACTCTTGCAACAATCTCTTACACAGTCTGGCTTCGGAAATTGAAAGATACGACGAGAAAAATTGTATCTGGTACTACGCAGTTGGAAGAGATATTGGAAAAGTATCTAGCGATTAAACTGCTTGAATTTTCTGAGACGTTGCCGGAGACGAAATGGTCGGATAAAGATGTGGAGAAGGCGATAGAATAGAAGCTAGTGTACATTTGAAGGGATTGAGGGGGTGTGGATGAAAAAATGGGTTGAGGGTTGGATTCAGGGCTTAGGTTGGGTGATGGGTGGTTTTGGAGTAGAGACGTGTAAGGAATTGAGAAGGGGTGTTTTTGATGTGAGAGATAAGGTTAAGGGAAAGGTATAGGGTAGTTACAATATTGTTAAGCTCATGATCAGTCTTGTCTCGAAGGCCGGCAGAATTCGTTCGGGAGATCTTGATTCTATGATTACATGATATAAATTATCAATATCGAAAACATTTCTTACTATTGATATCATCAATCCCATCATTACTCATGAACTACCATTACATTAACCTAAAAGTCCATTCCCAACAACCAACCCTCTATTTAAACAACGCCACCGACTTTCTACTATATCCCACCGTCGTAGGCCACGCACTATAATCCGGCGTGAATAAAATCGCATCATTACAATCACTTCCCAAACTCGTATTATTCAGCCACGCCGGTTCCCAATAATGCACACCTCTTCCCAATCCATGCGGTACATTCCTCACCACACTAATCACATCCTCCGTCCACTCCAGCTGTCCCGCAACCGTATACGGAATCTCCGGCTCGCTGCTCTGAGGAATCGGATTATATTGTCCATCGCAAATTGCCGGGTAATCCGTCTCGGCCACATGAACCGGCTTGCGATATGTTTCCGCAACCCAATGCAAAGTCGTGCGCAAATTTGCCAATGTAGCAGCGGTACCGTAAAAAGGGTAAAAGAAAATCCAAAAACATCCCATGCGGAGAGCGGTACATCATTAGCGGTTAAGGCATCGAACCAGCGTTGTTGGAGCGTAACTATTCCATCCATCATCAATATGGATCATAATCTGTGGTTTGTGTACCCCGACCGCAAGTGCGTCGTCGACGCCTGCACGTGCAGATTTCCACAGCGTGGCAAAGGAGGAGAAATCTTGTGCAGAGCGCTTGGGGGTTGGATATCCACGTCTACGTAACCGAAGGGCCATAGCATGCCATGACGGATTTCATTACCCAGCGCGACGATATCGAGTTTGATACCCGCCTTTTTGAACGATACCAAGGTATCTTTTACATATGCCCTCAGGGTTTTCGCAAGAGGTTTCAACTCTGTAGGCCAGGCAGCTGGAGGAGGTTGTTTACCTGGGATCAGCCCAGGATCGGAAAAGTGGAAATCGAGATAGATTTTGTAGCCTTGTTTTTGCATGCGTTGGGCAAGTTGCAGATTGTATGCTAAGCCGTAGACGCCTTCGACGGGATCAACCCATTGACGTAGTCGTACGCTGTTCATGCCGCCGTCGCCGAGAATGGCTTCGGCGGGTCGCGTGGCGTTGTGTTTGAGAGTGTCTTTGAAGATGGAACCGCTTTGTTCGAGCATGGGGAGAGAGGATAATCATGTCCTTTGAAGAAGTAGGAGGAATCTCTGGGGTTTTGTGAGTTTTGATGGAAGAGGGATTGAGATTAGTGTTCGTACCTTGAATGGTTCTCTGGTCTTGCCAATGTTAATGGCAAGACTGTGATTAGAAGACCCCAGAATTTCATGATTTCTATCGTACGTATTATGTACACACAATTAAAAAAACTCGGATACTTCTAAAATAAAAAATCGACAGACCACAGCTCAATTTTATACAAATCATCCCCATCCCATCCGGATTAAACCCATCTCTCCATCTCTCCATCCCACAAAACCCCATAACTCAACACACACAAACCAAGTACCTACCAATCGTATACCCACCCCATCAACACCCACCCCACGGCTCAGCGCCGACACTATGCAACAAAATAAACTACTCCGTAAAGTCCAAGAAAAACATCCTCCCCCTGTTCCCCCGTCCCCGCGATCCGAAAACTCGGCAAACAGAATTTCCACCATACATTGTACTGTTTTCACGATACGAACGGGTTATTTTATCCCATCTCCACGTTCTCCGAAATTCTAGATGTAGATGTGGGGTTATTTAATCTGTATTTAATCTACGTGCATTCTGCACCCCTCATTTGGGGTTTAGCGGGCCAATGGGAAGGGTGGATGAAATGGGTGGGGATGTTTGTCCGGGGAAGCGAGGGCGCGCCGATGCAGGTCGAGGTGAGGGTTAGGGATTTGGGATGGATACTAGGGGCTTGGATCTTGGATTGGGGTTGCGAGGAGTTAGTATGGTGGTCATGTGGTATGTATTGTGAAGAAATGAAATGTGTGATTGTAAGATTACCGGTATTATAATTGTTCGGAGAGATTCTTGAAAGGGAGTTGGTTGCTGTTTTGGTTTGGTGGTGGCGGTCAGTAAAATGGGCGAGGCGAGGACCGAATTTTCGGGATTGTAAAAATACCTAGGTACTTGTAGTAAATAAGCGTATTCCACCCCACTCTTGGTAATCTTCATTATTGATTGTCTGGTCGCTTGTGAATAAGCTGGGGAGGGTCCAATGGAGATTTTTTGAACATTGCGTATGTACTTCAACATATCGTGAGTGGGCTCAGGTGAGAATTACTAATGTATGAAATCCACCATATGCATGCGAATACACTCGAGTATTGTAATCGTGTTTTTTGAGTAAGAAGAGAGTGAGTTTCGAAAGATATAAGGTTATATTAACCTGGTATATATATCAATACCCTAGCGAACTGTCGTCTATAATTACCATGCGATATATCCCCAACGCCTCACTCACCCACAGTATTAATTATCCCACCCGCTTGTTTTTGTCTAATATTCATAAGAGTATATCAATCCTTTAATAGAAATCCCGCCCAAACATACCATTCGAGCTGTCCAATAGGTTCTTATTCAATCTTATTCAAAATATTTTGAGTTTAAAAACCCTCACCTGTGCACCTCCCATAGCAGCACTCGAAAACAACTTCTCCCTCTTCAACACGAACCCAGTATTAGTACAGACACCTTGCTGTAATAATACAAAATCTCTTTTATTTATAATCGCTTACTTAATCTCCTGTACCAGTATATCCGGAGAGAATCTTCTAAATCACTCCCTAGGAACTATTAGAAACACCGAGTTGGTAATAACAAGCGTGATAATTACACCGCAGGTTAATATATGGGCTGAGACCTTCGCGCTAGGCGATGACTCTCTTCCGACAACATAGTCCGAAATCCGCGACTTAGCCCCAACAGCTGTACGTCCTCGTCTCATCAGAAAATCACTGGAATGCAGAGGCGGTTGTTTTTCGGGATGTCATGGACATCCCGAACTGAGAGATGCGAGTGCAGACTCGGATGACATCTGTTACGCCTTGGCGCGCGCGCAATCAATGCTGCAAATCATAGGGCAGGAAAAAGCAGTTTGAATGATTCCTCTCTCCGGAGAAGGGGAAAGAGCAAGTCTAAATGCGGGAGGTGAGATCTACGCAGATCCATGTTACCTTTGAGTTTGGTCGCTAATTAGATTTTAGAAATATTTCTTATCAAAATCAATAACAGTCGAATATTTTATATTGAAAAAACACCTATTTTGGTACAGAGTTCTTAGCTTACAAGTAATTATACAATCAAGTATATTATAAAGTTCATCAAAGTAGTAGCTATTTAGCTATGTAGTTTTAATGATTAATTTAATTTTATTAGTATGTAGATTAGTATTAAACCTCACGAGAACAATTCGCTTTCCCTGCATAGGAACTAGTTGGCCGTTTATAAGCGTCGACTATTAGAGCTTTAAATAGAAAGTAGTAAACCAGACAGCTATTTAACACTCGTAGTCAATCACCTACGTTCTTCTCAGTTGTCTCAAAAAAGAAAAGTTAGATGTCTTTCTTCAGAAAGAGTATTTTAAAAAATTCGAATTCTGAAATATAATTTTAGGAATCTCACCATCAATGCCATAAGTCGATTCGTCAAGAAAATGAAGAAAATGAATACACCAGTGCCTAGTTCTGTCCCTGCTCCTCCCACCACTAAGGATATCTAGTGGAATCAAGAAAATCTCGATTATCTCAAATGTAATTGCTGAAAAGAACTGGAAAGGGATTTTGCGGAGACTAGAACAGGGGTATTAGATATCGCTTCGACAACTTAGGGCTAAAGCAAACCATACTCTCACAGAAGTACAGCGCTCTACGCTCTGGTAACGCCACGGCAAAGATTGACGTGCGGGTGAATTCTGCAAACCCTCAATCAGGGGGAATAACAGAAGGTTTCCAAAACGGGCCCATGGGCTGAAGGAAATTGTGTGGGATGGTGTAAATGATGATTTTGCCCTAGCATACTACTCGTTATCGCAAGGCAAAAAGGATCTCGCAGTGATACAGGGGGTAGACGGGGAAGTGTTTCCTGAAACGCCATTGATTTTACAGATACTTTTGACGGGGTATACGGGCGTGGCAAGCAAACTCAACGAAAGGGGAACAAAGCCAGGTGACGAAGCTAAGAGCTGGACCCCCGGGAAGTTACTTAATGGATCTTGACGATTGGGAGTTCCACCAATGGCTGTGTGACACCTCGGATCATAACCCGGGTGAAATCACAGACCTGATGAATATCATCTGCAGCGATGTGCGAATAAACCAGATGAAATTTACAAATTACGGCGGACATTTTTGGGATACGACGGGACATGAAAATATAGAATGTCCATTGAAATTTACCAAGCAACCTACTCCTAAGACGAGCACAAATGGTGACTAAGACGTCGAGTGATAAGAAGAGGGCATCTGGATGATAAAGCACCATCGTCGAGGAACAAGCCACAAGCGTCAAGTAGCAGGACACAACCATCTAGTAGTGGAACGCCACAACGAACCGATAATCGAGATAACCGAGACCTTTATGACACTCCTCCACCAGCTCCAAAATTATCCCGCTCAAAGAAACCCAGTACAAATCCACCTGCAAAAGGATATGCATCAGGAGGATGGAGAAGCGTGAATGATCCAGAGCAGGGCAGCGACGACGCTCACCATCTAGTTCCCGCGAGCCCGAATCACGCAGTAGCGCATCTTTTGCATTTCGACCAGTCCTTCATCTGGTGGAGAGAGTTACAATGAGACTTCAAGATCTTCGAATAGCAGAAGAAACCTGATCAGAGGGATCGACGACAAGATGCCGCTTTTATGTCTCGCGCCTCGGATAGCAATACTAGTAGACCAATGACGAAACGACCTGCTATGACGTCTGAGAGGAAGATGATAGTAGGCGAACGAGAGAGGGAATTGTCGCTTTGTAAATCTAAGATACCGCGTGATTCTCGCATTTCAAATTGATGTATGAACAATGATGTCGGAATTTGTCATATGAAGCGTATTGGGCTGCACTTTAGACTGTCCTCCGCTACCACTATTGCACACACTTCCATTTACATATAGTGATCAAACAACACTTCATGGAAGTCACATTTTGAGTTGAAAAGCTGGAACAATCTAGGCTGCCCGTTCTGTATATGAGATATAACGAATTTTATTTTTTGGTTGCTAATCTGGTTACCCCTTCCTACTACATACTGACTTCTCTCGTGTGATTCAAACAAATTGTATATTGTGTCTAAAAATATCGAAACAAAATCAAGAAGCCAAATAAAAATAAATAATCAACATCCATCTTCACACTCCATCATCCAAACTGTGATACATGAGAATCCAGGCGCAACTTTATCTTGAGGTCAAGGATCTTTCTGATCTGTCAAACCCAAAGATTTTGGAGATCCATAACAACCGCAAGTATAGAAAGTCTCGCGAATTCTCTATGAACCACTTGGAGAAGAGCAAATAAGAGCTTGACCCCAACTATTCGAGTAATTAGTATCCGCACCTAGACCAAAAGCAGGACAACTCACGATAGGAAGATCGCAGCACATGTCGATTTTCCAACATCGGCGCAGACTTTTGCTGAAAGATGCTGCGTCGGTGTATGTACCCGGTGCTATTGGTATTAGGTTATTAGTCTGCTTCGGCTATGAGAGGTAAATACATCGAGTCTCGCAGTCTAGATCAGCTAGCACCAAGGACATCAGTGTTCGCAGCATCGAGGATTGCCGCTGCTGCAGATAGCATCTTGTCGAGATACAAGGGTGGCAGGCATTGCGAAGGCAGATGCGAAAAGGGCAGTCATGCTGACTACGATGCTGATTCTTGAGGAAATAAATGTTGATGAAGGATTTTTGTATGATTGATTTGGTGGAAGTAAAAGTTATTTTCTTGAAGTTTGTTGTATGATGAGACTGAGAATGAAACTGAGAATGATTGTAGAGAGGAAACTTCGTACACCTTTATAGATTTCTCTGAAGCTCGTTCGTGTTGCCCTCCTGGTGGCCCAACATGGCTCGCTACACTTCAGGTCAAGTACATGATGTCAGTTCATGAATATTCTTGATATTTAGTACGAGCTGACGATAACGTAGAGCATGCTCTTTCCTATCATTAGGGGTGATATTGATAAGAATAGAAAAAGCAATGACATCCAGGGAGTTCACATGGTGATCATTGGATAACTCGCTTATGTGAAGAGGAATATAAACTGGATAGTGATTGCCTAAGACCAATCCCATAGACTACCATCGGTTCCTGACATATAATATCACCAAGTATGAGCCCACTTTTCGGAATACCGGATTCAGCTTTTCAAGGATAGAGGGGCAGGAAGAGTAGCTTCAGCATCCAAAGATCAGCGACTTGCCTTATAGCTCATTGGTTAAGATGGCTCGGGCTAAATAAAATCAAGTGCACACCTAAACCACACATCTTTCAAAATTTCAACTGTAATCAAACAATCAAATTTGGTATTTTGACTTTGACCTGGAGTATTCCAGAAGTGGTGTGATTGATTAGGTGCTACAGTTTTACCGTATTTCAAGCATATTTTGTAGTTATCATATCCTACATAGATATGTGTGTTTTTCTGAGATTCTCTTTCTTGATGATCTAGTGTGTACCGTGCAACATGAGTTCGTTCAGCTCGGAACCGGGGACGTAGCCGTTGTGGAGAATTCTTCATACTACAGCAGCTAAAGCTTCAGGGATCGGCTAGCCCCATATCTCCACTCTTGGTGCGATCATCGTGATATATCGTTGGGATTGAAGTGTCAATCGGCCAACTTTATATTGTTATACGACGTGCATCCGAACAGACGAATATCGAGGCAGCTATAGCCTCGTTGACGATTGACGAATGATCATACTTCACTACTGAATTTCATCCATTTTGCAATATAATCGTATGATAATGAGCGGCTTCCTATATTGACCTAACATTTCATACCATAACAAATATTGAAGACTGGCTAGGCGGAGCTCCAATGCTGTTATATCAAGGCTATTTTTGGTATGCAGATAGACAATCGGGTTTGTCAGAATAGAAACCATGCCTGCTGTCAAGCAAGAAACGATCCGAAATTAAAACTCAACCATGTGGCAAACATGCAATATCATGTTGAATTATGGTAAAGGTCCTCAAATTGCATTTTTTTGGTCGGCGTGTGGGCAAAGGTCTTGCTCCGGTATTTCCAATGCAGGCCAATATAAGAGCCGTAGCGTATACCCCCGATTGGTCAATTGGAGTGAGTTGAGCATTCCAAAACGGTAACTCTGTCCGAAGATCTGCATTTTCTCCTTTCTTTCGCTTACTCAGGTACAGAATTCTTGCAAAGATTAGGATTTGTTAGTCCCCAATTGAAATGGGATATGTCGTGTAAGCGTTTAAAGGTTCGTCATAAATGACAAGGTTGTATGGCCATGCTGGTAGAAACCCTCTTGATAGGTCAAATCTTTTCATTTGATCCTTATATCCGTGTGTGAAAAGATATCATTCAGAACAAGTAACGAAGACAGTTTCAAAACGGTCGAGAAGCATTTGACGTCGACGCTAGTTACTTTTGCATCTAATGGGTAGCTTGTTTAGGAAGTCATTGCTTATATCACGTGCAACATGCTCTTTCCTGTGCATGCTTAATAACCATCTCGGAATCTTTTTGACAACGGACTATATCCAAAAGGAATCCTGGATCGGATTGATAAAACTTTAATAGAATACGTATTGAAGAAACTTGGATGCTATGTCTAGATTCATAGGGCCTTCATGAACAACCTTAACGGTGACGGCTCAACGTCACTTCATCCATTCAAGATCGTAGAAATCACAGTCAACGACAGTGTCTATTTTCTACATGACCCTTACCCAGTCCTCTATTATTTTTCGATGAGGAATTTCATCGCCATTGCCTGCAGTGAAACTGAAAATGCTAGCTAGATTTATTACAAACCGACGACCTTGATGTTCTACAGTCGAATGGCATCCCTTCCTACCGCCTAACTATCATTCCGATCCCCATATCTATCCATAGCATTTCTCGCATCCGGCCGAAAAATTGACGTTTATTCTCAGCTCTCGACGTCTAGGGAAAGAATACAGAAGTGGTGATAGTTTGGAAATATATGCCAAGTTTTGTGCATGCACTAGAAAAGGGAAATAATAAGATACTTACGGTCCGAGGCCGTACAGGTACTTTCAAAACTCCCCTTCATACAAAACTCGTGTACCAGCATCTGCTTCGCCACCATATCCTCATGTTTTTTTCTCCTCGACTTTGCATTGCTTATTTTCCCTTATCGACATCACAAAGCTCGCGCTGAATCTTTTCAAACCTCGAAGAGTGTTTGTTCCTTCAGCAAGGCCTGCCTCCTCTTGGCGTAGGCTGCAATGTATTGTACATGTTTCTGTATATTTAACTGGAAGTCTTCGATTTGCTTTGGTGCTCGCGAATGCATTTCGAGTTTTCGTAAGTGTGTCTTTGGATTGTGGTGGACTGTTGCCTGACGGGCTTGAGAAGTTGGGAGCCGGACTGCACGGTGGTATGTTAGTTAAATGCAGCTCTTTGTTACAAATAATGAAGGAAAGATGAATTTGGCGCAAAGGTTGGTTGCATAGTTGAGTTGAGCTTACCATTTTGTTGGAATTGGGGCTTCATGGTTGCTGCTTGTAAGTTCGAGTCGCACATTGTAATTCGAGGTGCACAACTTCTAAATTCTTCTAGAATCGGAGATCAGAAAAGCTTTTCATGTTGAAGGCGCATGATATGAAGGCTGAGGAAGAATTTGAGGAGGATAGGAAGAAAATAGTTTAGGAAACAAGGAAGTCATGAGTGGTTAATATTCCTATGTTGGAGATGTGAGTGGTATGTTGGAGGTGATTATTCCTTATTCAAATTCTTCTTATCTGAATGAATATTCATCTATTAATTAAGGTCCTAGTATGCATAACATACAACGCAGTGAATGATTTCCCATTGCTGTTCCCACCCATTGACCCACATTTGGCAAAAGGTCGTTTTAGCGAGGGCGGTATGTATGAGTGAGATATAATCCCAAGCATTCACACACCAAGACCCATTCGCTCATTCAAAAAAATCACAATCACCATCAAAATAGCATGAGGGTCTTGAGAAATAAACAAAAAGGTGGTTGTACAGCATCATCCCCTGATTAAGAGACTCTTGATGATGAAGTCAGGCGCTCAGACTAATTGGACGCTGGCCGAGAGTGAGAACCATAGGCAGCCCACACCGTTAGAAACGCTTTTTTGAAGGCTTTTCGCGTACTTGAAATACATATCAGAGTAGCTTCCACGCCGCTATACTAATGGATGATGATAGCACGGAAGGAAGTGCCGTCACCTGCATCAACGTTGGAACGGGGAGAATGTTTTACGCTGATAAATTTCATTGTGGTGATTATTGCAGATAAAATATCATTAAGTTACGCCGCTACGACCGTTAGCATGTTAATTCTCCTTCTTTATGGTCGTTATCGATTTTGTATCCAGCTTCGCACGCGCTGGTCTTCGACTCTGATGTCTGAAGCCTGATGACGCGGGAATATTAGGGGGTGAGTATGAATGATCAACAGAATCATAAGCATAAAAGCTTGAGGGCAATGACTTACACTGCAAATTAAAATATCTGCTTCAAAGCCAAATTGGTTCACAGTCACTCTCAATTTCTCTTCTACCTCCTCCAAATCCTCAAGCAATCCCGCCTTCTCTACCTCAGTCCTCAATTTATTGTTCAACTCCTACTCAAATTCATCCAATTACTTTTGAATCTTCTCGAGCTTTGCCGCCTTTTCCTTACAATCGGCATTGTATTCCTCGTCATCTCGAATTCTTTCTTCGTAGTCAACTTTTTCTTGTCTTAGATTTTGGATGCGTTCTTCACACATTCGAATATCCTCTTTGTTCTCTTGGAGAACCATCAAGAAACGAATAGATTTCTCGC